TCACAAAAGGATGTTTGTTCACCCGAAAAGGATCAAACACGGAGTTCCACAGCATTCCTTGCGCAGTCGTCACCAGGATCCACTGGCCTGGGCACGACGTCGCCGAGACAGCATCCGGCGGGCAGAGGTGTGGGAGATACAAATGAAACGGAAGGAAGTGAAACGCAAGACGGAGGAAGTGCTCAAGATGAAACTCGGAGAAACGCAGAAAGAAAACACGGTGACCTTCGCCTACCTGCCCGTTTATAGAAGTTTGGAGTGCAGCGGTTGCGTGAGAATGCAAATCTCTAATCCAGGTGCTCCTTTCTCACAGCTCAGCGGTGGTTTGGATTATGATTTTGACATTGTGTTCAGCGGCTGCTACCAGACCAGAATTACTCGAGCTTGAGGGATCCAAGCGCCCAAGGACGTAGAACACTGCGCTGGACACAGCAAACATCACAAACATCAGCAGACCTGCAGGTGGTGCGCACGGACCTGCGCCATGGCCACTTGACTGAAGAGCACACCTTCAAGCCCAAGACGATGGCACCCATCGAGGGCTACCAGGCAGCCACAAGTTGCGACAGAAAGATATCGAAGACCAAGATTTGGGATGAGGTTGGAGGCCATCGCTATTAGGTTGGAGGCCATCGCTATTTGATGTCCGCAGGTTTTCCAGGTCTCTTTCATCAGAATCATTGATTCTATATGATTCTATGGTGTTATATCCAGCTGTTTTTGCTGAAAATGTATTTGACTCAAGCCCGTCACAGGATCTTATCCATTCGCCCTGGATGTTATTTGTTCAAGCTTCACAGAGTGTTCACGACTGTTTCCCAAATAGACAGCTCCTGGCACCCTTCGAAGCAGCGTCATCTCAGAGTCCCAACGGCGCTCTGATGCGACACATGCTGTGTCCGAGAAGCGACCCCGACGGAGAAGAGACCAAGCGAGGTCAAAGATGGTACACCGGACAACCGAACAGGCTCAATGGCATCTTCCAGCCGAGAACATTGTTGCCCGAAACGGAACAGAGGAAAGATGAAAGGAGAGGAATGAAAATGGAAAGAACGGAAGAAATGTCAGATGTTATGTTTATGTTGTTTAAAACCCGCTCCACCCCTCCCTACTTAATTAAGTAAAGGAGAAGCTAGTAGATTAAGTAGCTGCTACCTAGGACGCAGGATGGCTCACGCTATCCATTTGGTTCCTAGATTTTAGGAAAGCTTAACCCTTCGACCCCGACTTGCAGGTGCCATGGGCAGCCAGTGCGCCTGCAAACGATCGATTCTGGGATAGACCATGTGTCGAATCCAAAACCGGGTCCCGAAGCTATTTTGCATGTGAACTGCCCTTCTTGGCAACAAGTGATGAATTATGCTGAAAAAACTTCTTCGGATACATCGCTGTTTGAGTTTATCACAATTCAGCTTATGCAAGAGAGGAACGATAAAAGACGCATAAAGACTATTGGCAACATGTTGTTCTTCTGCCGGTAGATGAAACTGAAGGTGATTTCATGGTTCCACTCGGATTTTTTGGGGTTGAAGATGGTTGAAGTTCAATTTGGGAAAACAGTTGACTGTTTGCACATGTTGTGTATGTTTAGCATTGACTCACCCATGGAGTGCGGAACATATATGACAATATACAACTATGGGCCTATGGGTGAGTAGATACCACAGGCATAGGTCTAGTTGTAAGGGCTACTCTGGCAAGAACTAAGGAAATGTGGCAGAACCTTTGCCAAGTCTCCACTTAAACAACATCACAACATCGCACACTTGCACTTGTTTTTCCTCCTTTTGTGTATGTTCGTTGACTTTCTTACTCCAGTGGCCGGTGGACTCTTCCTTGTTTGATTCCTTTGCCACACTTCTTCAACATCACAACTTTCGCGTACATCATCCACCTCAAGCAAAGTAGATGGCACAACTTGTCAAGACCTGTGCAGTCAAGGATCCATAGCAATTCTTGGATGTGGCTTGAAAGGGACTTTTGGGTGGGTAGATACGGGTAGATGATCGGGCTCGCAAATTCGAGTTGCGCCTACTTTGGAAAGTGTCTTTCTTCCTTTCGATTCCCTGGGTGATTACTTTTTTCCGCTTTTCTCCATTTTGGGAGTTCGGATCAGTGAAAAGATCGAACATTTCACCCATCGGATCCATCCGGATCGCGTCTGGCTCGCTGCCTTCGTTGTGGCCTTCTCTTGGTGTTGCTTTTCGCCGCGGTACCATGGCTCATGGGCGCAAGAGCCAGCTATACACAGAGGTACTCAGTCTCCAAGAGAAAAAAGAAAGGAGTCCAGTGTGGCGACGGGTGCAGTTCAGGTGAGTCAAATGAGTCTTGACTTTCACTCCCTATTTACCAGTCAAGTAATGTGCCCACCCAATGGGAGTTCACCATGGATCAGTGGATATTGTAGGCTTGGGGCACCGCATCGTTGCAGCAACAGTGACGCCTGCCGTGTTGTATGGGCCATCAGCCATTGGTTTTCCGCTTTAAGTAAGTTAGGTTTGTCAGCCAGGGCTTCCAACAAGCTTGGCTTTGTGGAGGGTATCAAGAGCCAGGGTCGAGACAGAGCACTGTCACCACATCATCGTTTGAACTCAGAGATGAAAACTTGCTTTTCTCTCCCAACAGTTTGCTAATGCATTCGTGATTGTTCCACAGTCCGGGAGTGGCTCAGCTGAGACAGCTGAGACACCCTTTCGTTTGGCATTGGTTGAGTGCCCTTTCCTGGACGACCGTTGCGAAAACATTTCACCAGGAGTCCTGTGCGCCCTGTACCATCACCCGCGGTGACAGCTGTCCCGTCTTGGTACGGCCCCCGTCGGCCGCGGATAGCCGGGCGACCAAGAGAGCCTGAGGCCCATCACGCTCTCAGATTGGGATGAACAGGCGACTTCCTGGAGTATTTGGCTGGCTTTCCTTTCGTAAATTTGTCAATAAATGTCTATAGTCTATAGAGCATAAGAAAATAGACGAAAGGCTGTCAAGATGTTTGTTGTATTAGCCTTCAGATTTGGAGATTTGGAAAACAAAAAAAACAAATGTGTAAAATATGTGTGTGTGTGTGTGTATATATACATATATTTATGATGTACGCTAAAACTAGTTCTGATGACACAGCAAAACATAAAAAAATGCGTAAACAATGCAAAAATAATGCAAAACCAATCCCGAAAAAAATGCGCAGAAAACGCAAAAACAAGTCACCAAAGGATGCCTTGGAATGCAAAAAAAAAAAATGTGAAAAACCCGCATTTGTCCACTAAACCAATGCAAAAAAGGCACAAAAAATGCAACAAAAATGCACAAACAATGCAAAAAAATGCAATCAAAAAGCAAAGCAAATGCGATCAAGCACGTTCTGGTCTTTGCCTTTGCATTTTTTTTGCTTTGTATTTGCGATTTTTTTGCATTTTTTGTGCGTTTCCTTGAGAAAACGCAAAAAAAAGAACGCAAAAACACCGCACAAAAAAATGAAAAAAAAACGCACAAAAAATGCAAAAAAACATGCAAAAAAATCGCACAAAAAAGGTGGTGTGTGAAATTTGGTTGTGCATGTGCATGGTTTTTGCATGTTTTTTGCTTTTTTTGAACTGCTGTTCTGCTTTTTTTTGCTTTTTTTTCTGGCTTCCTTTTGCATGTTTTTTTGCTTTTTGATATGCACTCTTTTTGACCAGCTGCTTTTTTTTGCTTTTTTTACGCATGTGTTTGCATTTCCTGGTCATCCTTTGTGAGTGTGGTTTTGACTTTTTTTTTGCTTTTTTATGAATCCTTGAGATTTCAGAGTTAGGCTGTAAGGTACATCATAAATATATATATATATTGTTTTTGTTTTTTGTCTATGTCAAAATAAAGCTGTATCTCTTCTCTTCTGCTCTTCTCTTCTTTTGTTTTTTCTCTTTTTTATAGTATTTTTCTCTTCTCCTTTCTCTTCCCTTTTCTCTTTTTTCTCTTCTCTTTGTTCTTCTCTTCTCTCTTCTCTTCTTTTCTCTCTTCTCTTCTCTTCCCTTCTCCTCTCCTCTCCTCTGTCTCTGTCTCTGTCTCTGTGTCTCTCTCTCTCTCTCTCGCTAGAAACGCTTCAGGTCTGGCTGCCAAAGCGTTGACCCTGCTGTATGAGGCGCGGCCGGCAGGGCCATGAACAGACCTTTGCTGTAGAGAAAGATAACGTTTGAGTTTTTGTTTTACTTCTGATTCTAGTTTTTTGGATTTGGTGTCTTGTGTTCACCTGTTTGTCGTTCTATAGATCCTTACAGTTTTGTCCACACTCAAGGCCTTTTTGTGGCCTTTACTACGTTCTTCGATAGGCACCTGATAGACACGATCGGGGATCGACTCGACTGAGGCGGTCTAGTCTAGGATGCTGCTCAGAGGTCAGACACGCCATTGCAATTTTCCTGGATGGATCTACGGTTATACATGTTCATACTGCACTAAGCTAGGACTGTTTTCTGGTGGGATCCCAAGAATGCGGCAAGGCTGAAGATCGAAGCCCGGAATGTGTCGAGGACGGACAGACAGACGCACACTTGACATCACGCCATGACACGACAGAATGTATTAAGACATTAGGTTGGAGGCCATTGCCCACAGTATGAGGGGGGAGCTCGGCCACAAAAAAATACACAAAAGATGAAAACTATTATAAACGAGTCACTCGAGACTGTCCGAACACTCGGGCAGTATCTATGGCGATGGGGGAACCGGGCTGCTCCTTTCAGGTGTAAAACACATCACCAAAGGGTCACCTGTTGGGCCTTTTGAGATCTGTTCTTGAAGTTCTCGAACGCAGAATTGATGGGAAATGGTAGCTGAATCGCTCGATAAGCACTGAACATGTTTGAACATGTTTGTTTGTTGGTGACACTTGTCCCAAAGATGTAGAAACAAGTTGGTCATGAAAGAAACTGTGGACCAAAGTCGAAAGGAATCGGCTTGATGACATAGACACAATGGTTTTCCTGGATTTGGGTGACTGGTTGCTTAATCCGGTGCTAAGCGAATGTGTAAGAATGGGTCACATCATACATCATGTCACATCCACTGATATACTGTGATCAGGGTGAACCCGATGAAGGTGAGGACCTCCGGGGCCGCTCGGATGAGACGTTGCGGCAAGCCATTCAGCACTGTCGTCAGGTAGGCCCGGTAGGGGGCAGTCCAACCTAAATGGAGCAAACGACCCTTATCCTTACTAGGAACAAGAAGCTACTAGGGGCTCCTGGCCTTACTACTAGGAGCAAGAAGCTACTAGGAACAAAGGCCTTACTACGTTCACATTGCTCGACACGACGCGACACTGCTGTGGGCAGGACAAAGACTTCACTCCCACAGAGGCTCCCCTTATCTGCGCGAACGGACGCCACCAACGGGCAAACCAAAACCAAAACCGAAACAATGATCCACGAGTCAAGCCACCTGATATTCGACTATGTAGTCAGGTAGGGCCCTGGATGGCCTTGGGGACCCGTATGTTTTCAAACATAGAATACTTCGACAGAGCTGCGGGGGTAGCGTTTTGTACTTGGACCCAGTGGGTAAAGTCGAAATTAATCACGAAAGCTAGCTGTAGCTAGCTGGAGTCTGTCTTGCTTTAGCAAGGAGGGTGGGAGCCCAGGACCTGAGTGCTGTTACTTGATATATCAGGACTAGACACCCACCGGGGTTCAACTCCACCCTTCTCCTCCTCGGTACCTGCTGCTGCTGCTGGCATCTCATCTGCGCCTGGCTCTTGGCTGCTTGCTGGTTGCTGCTGCTTGCATGCTTGCATGCTTGGTGCTGCTGGATGCTCTTGGCTGCTTGCTGGTTGCTGCTGCTTGCATGCTTGCTGCTTGCATGCTTGCTGCTGCTGGATGCTGGCTGCCTGCTGCTTGTTGTCTGCTCCGTTTTGCTGGTGTTGCTGTTCGGGGTTGTTTGCTGTTGGTGCTCAAGAAAGCCTATTCGTTAGAATCGAGAGTAGTTGCATTCCCTCTGAGTCGTGAAACGATGCTAATTTCATTATATCCTTAAGAAGCTTGTACAGGCCCCACAACCCCCAAGAGTACAAATCAGAATGCACTATCCGCTATCCATGCAGATCAAAAGACGATACTTACTACACACGTGAATGACAGAACCCAGTAAGATGTTTGAACGGGCTGTTTGCTTTACTCATGGTAGTCCGCGTTCCATGTTCGAGCGACAGGGAGCATGCACAAGCGTTGCGACGGAGTCTTCGGTCGCTGACACATGTTCGCATGCAACCCCTAGATGTCAATCATGCACACCGCTGCTGGCTGCATCGTCAGCATCTATTCGTGGAAAAAACAGATATATCTGTCTTTCCACGTCGCCCTTCTACAATTACTCAGGCAGCACCTATATGTGCTATTGTTCGAGACCAAATGTTGGGGCGCGAAAGACTCTAAGGAAAGCTCACTCTTTCCCTGCTGCTGCTGCTGCTGCTGCTACTTGGTAGCTGCTGCTTGGTAGCTGCTCCTGCTGCTGCTGCTGCTGCTTGGTAGCTGCTGTTGATGCTGCTGCTGCTTGGTAGCTGCTGCTGCTGCTGCTGCTTGGTAGCTGCTGCTGCTGTTGCTTGGTAACTGCTGCTGCTGCTGCTGCTGCTTGGTGTAGCTGGTGCTGCTGCTTGCTAGCTACTCGCTGCTGCTTCTGCTCTGCTTGCTGCCGCTGCCGCTGCTGGTTACAGTTATTGTTGTTGTGGCTGCTGCGGTTGCTGGGGTGGTTGTGTGTTGCCATGTGTTGGCTGTGTTGGGGTCGTATTGGGGGGGCGCTGTTGGCACTCTCCTTTTCCCTTGGCCATGGCATGTTGCGATTCCCGGCCAAGCCTGTAGGCTTGTCTAAACACACCACAATTTGTCCTCATGTCTTTGTCAACGCTAGGAGATCAGGTCAGTCTCTAGGATCAAAAGTCTTGACTGATAGCAAGTTCATCGCTCCTTCGCTCACCCACCTCGACCCGGCAGGGACGGATGCCATGGCACTTGGGCAGAGAGAGCAGAGTTGGGTGGAGTAGGATTGGACCAGTAGAGAAGGCTCGGGGCCGTTTCAGATGTCCATTCCAATGTTGAAACTTGGTGACTGTGATCAGGGTCCATCGACTAGGATGAAACATGATGAAACCAATCAAAATGAATCAACAAGTTTCAAAGCACCAAAGTGCTTTGCCAACGAGTCAAATCAAGGCACCCCCCAAACACCCATGAGGTGAGCAATGTGAAAGAAAAACCGTTCGGTCACGATGAGGACGTGAAAGAGTTGACGGATGTGACACACTTTTTTCTGCACACATGCAAACAATGCCAAGCAATGCAATGTATTCACTTTGAACGCTGCAGAGCCAAATGTGAATCTCCGAGGCACCCCGAAGATGTACCAGAGCTGGAGGAGACCGGAATGTCCAGCGAATGGATCGTCCAAATCAGCACGCCGTTAAGCCACCAGGCGTCGCTATCTTGTCTCCACCCTGGCACTGGAGCCTCTTGATTTACAACGCCTGAATTGTCATTTTTGTCCATTGTTGAAAAGTGTTTGTTTGGCCTATACCAACATCAGACTCGGAGGTTAGGCTTCATAGTCTTGGACTTAACTGTGCTTCGTGACTCTTGGGCCTTGAACTCACTCAGCCGGGAATGTTCCTGACTCTTCTCCATGGTTCGGCCGCAACGTACAGAAAGCTGGAACATATTTGCGGGTTGCTCACCTGTTGGGGGATTGATGCTTTCTTGGCATGACTGAAATGTCGTGCGGGCAAGTTTGGCCAGCATTCCTCCCACAATTTGATGACTTGCTCACGTTGCTCACCCCTGAGGAGACGAATTTTGGAGGTAACGTGCCAGAATCTCCACAAAAGAATCTGAGTTCTGGCCCTTCTGGCAACTAGGTCTAAAGATAGATAATCGCTGGTGTTTATCCAAGGTTTGATATGGTTTGATGCCTATCGGATGTTTCTCGTGAGGAGCGCCTGCCCACAATTCCCGAAACGACCTCCTCACGTCCGGTCTCCCTCTCGCGGCCACGCTCGCGGTCGAAGAAGGCGCCGTGGTGGGCCGCCCTGAAGGTCGCAAATATGTTCCTATCAGTGTCGATTTGGGCAAAAGGGAAGGTGTGGGTTGGCCCTTCTCAACGGTGTGTGCTACTCCAATTTCTTCCAAGGTTTGGGTCCTTTCTTGGAACTTTCAATCCTTGATGAAGTCACCTTTCGCCATGATTTCTGCAGTTTCATTATTCGAGCCTATGGATTCTCACGAAGCCTATCAGATGTGATAGTAAGGAGTGTTTTCAGCCAAGACATCCAAGACCAATCTAGGTTCATCCATGTCTGGCACCAAGTAACATCTCAACAACCTAAGCCGTCTGGAGTGCAGAGGCACTTGGGAGAAGATCAAGTTCCCCCTGGTCACATCTGGTCACGGATTGTTTGTTTCCTTCAGCTCCAAGGAATCTGAAGTTCACGCCTTCGGTCACCAACAACACCGAAAGGAGAACCGTGCAGTTCTCGAAGCTTCAGCCAAAACGCGAAAGCCAGGTCCCCAACAGTAACAGCGCAAGGCAGGGATGGCGGGGGCAGGGATGGCGTGTGGCAGTGACGTCGCCTAGAGATGCCTAGAGGTGCCTAGAGGCAGGCTCAACCACTCAAACGGAATGTGTGAAGATGGAAGTGAATGGGTTGATTGATCGGATTTGGAGAATAATTAGACATTCCTAAGAGCAGTTGCTGTTTTGACATAAACCGCCGGGCGTATGGAAGGGTATGGGGTGAACTCACCCACAGTCAAATAGAGAAGGCCAGAGGAAGAATTCATGGAAACATTCAAGCCTGGCTGATGAACTTTTACCTTCAGATCCTACCTGCAGATTCTTGATAGGGTTCGGGACAAAGGAAATGCATTTTCCTGCCCTTTGAGATTGTTTGGGACAAAGCATTGGTGTCGTCTGCAGGAAGAACTTGGTTTAAGGATTGATCGAACCCATACTTAATGACAAGGAACCCACACAGAGTGACACACAAGAATTGCCTGCAAACAAGAGAATCTTGAGGATTCACGCTTACTTCAAGTCTGATGAATCTCACGGCGTCACCACTGAGATGAACCTAATGTATCCTAATTTGGGTGAACTCCCGGTGAGACTTGGTGAGCCCGCTTGTTCTGGACAAGATGGTCGGTATTGGTTACGAAATGTTATGGGCAACCTTTGCACGGAAATGCGCTATTTGTCTTGCGAGCTTAAATCTCCGACAAACCTCTCAGCTGTAGGCGACAAACCCTGGTGCTCCGGTGGCCCGACGAGGCGAGGAATCCTTCAAGAACTCTTCCTTTTCGTGGATCACATCCTAACATACATCATATGATTGAAAGAGTCATCTTCCCAGATATGCTTTTTCATCACGCAAAAGGGAAATGTGTCTCATTGTTTTCAGTAGGTTCGGATTTGTCCAACTTAGGGTTGCTTTCGACCAGAACCGATGACACAGGCATGCCAGTCACCAAGAAATCTTTGCTGAAGCTTACTCACTACTGACACAGACTCTAGCTCTTGGTGTACTGTAGGTTTTGGCAGGTCAATCTTGTGGGGTGTCAACTCTTTTCTGGAAGTGTTCCACTTCGATTCCCTCTTCGTCCATATTGGTCCGGCGAAGAAACATCCCCAGCACTGAACTGCCCATAGGAACTCGGCCCATCGATGTCGGGGGAACTCCGAACTGATTGCATTCGGAGTGCATTCCCGCGACCCTTCGAACGGTCAAACGAGATATATAAAAGCAGCTCCCCGCAGAATCCGGGATTTTTGCCTGGTGGACAGGAGGGCCTACCAAGGCAGGTGGATCCGGATGGGACAGAACTGGACCGGTCCGGCTTGGAAAAGCACAAAAGACAAGTCAGTCACCGTGGGTGACCCCGTCACCCCGAATTCCGATTTGGGAAATCGAGGGAACATGAGTTCCCCAAGTTTTTACCATGGTGATTGGTATACATTGGTATATATATATATATGTGTATATGTGAAAATTGGTATAGTATACTGTATATACATTATACTTGTACAAGTATATAGTTGTATACTAAATATTGCTAAATTGTATGTTTACTAAATGTGTTTTAACTTGTAGATGATTCCCCAAACAGTGTGGTCACACTAGGGGTTCTTACGGTAACGGTTAAGGGCCGGTGTCCAATCGAGGTGTCGCGCGGTCGAGTCGTTGCTATTTACAGTACACTGACTCATGCCTCTCGAAATCCTCGAAGTGCATTTCGACTGCGCAGGCTCGCAAAATCTGGGTGGCCGCAGCGAGTGCTTGTCGCGACTGCGCTCTCGTTCTGGTGCCGCGCACATTTTCGGACATGGTGGTCACTTTTCGTGGCAGTTGCAAGGGAAACCTCGTGCTTTGGCGACCCCAAGTCAACTTTTCGTGACAGGTGCAAGGGGTCGGAGCGGCTTTACTTCGACGCGTAGATTTCGTGGCAGGCGCAGCACTTTGGACATGGTGGTAATCTTCGACGTGCTCTGACTTTGTTACAGGTGTAGTGAATCGTGACTTTTCTACATGTGGCTCGTTCTCAGAAGTCGTGGCAGGCGCAAGACTTTGTGGATCTTGAAGTGCGCATTTCGTGGCAGGCGCAGTACTTTGTGGACCTTGAAGCGCAGATTTCGTAGGAGGCGCAGTATTTTGTGGACCTTGAAGTGCAGATTTCATGGCAGGCGCAAGACTTTGTGGACCTTGAAGTGCAGATTTCGTAG